GATCACCATGTTCTCTGACGCTCCACTGTAATTCTCAAACTTCAGTAGTCAAAATCTGTCTCACTGCGACGTATTTCAATGTCGTGTCTTGATCTCAGCTCACATAAGATATGCCAACAAGAGTAGAAAAAACAACTAGCTGAAGTAATCTTTAATAGGGATAGCACAGAAGTACTGTGTCAAGTGATCTAAACTCTTTCATCTCATAACACTTCAGCAGCGAATAAATGTCAAAGCCTTTGGATAACTTCCAGATTTCACCCGAATACAAATTCAAAAATCCAGAGTTGCTCAATAAAATCTAAGAGATCAGCGAAAATCATCCGCCCGTTTTTCTTCATGATCCATCTATAATCGCATGTGTGGGTGATGTTGTATTCAAATCTAATTTTGCTCGATATCGATTTCTAAACGGGCGGAATTTAGCCATCGTTAGTTGTTCTCATTGTTGCACCAGTCTCCTAAAAGAAGTCATTGCGAGAAAATGTTCTGACACCAATCACTAGAAGACATTACACTTAAGGCACGACTACTCGTAGTAGAAACGTGTCCACTGAATTTCACGTCTTTAGCTCATATTTTTAAGATAGATAGGTTGTTGCCATATAGAAACAAGCATCAAGTTTCAACTCAAACTAATGAGTCATTCCTGAGATATCGATATTGAAAGGATAGCTATTCAGGCTAATTTTGAGCGTTTTTGAAAGCAACATTTTTCAGTAAAATGCAGCTTTATCCAATGGGCAAGTTTGAGAATAGATTCATTTGAAAGAGAATATCAGACAATACGAAATGACATTTCCAAACGTTTGTAATTAGAATTGAGTTTTGGTATATAGCATTTTCCAACAAGACTAGAAATATGAAATTTGCCATGCCGATACTGCATGTATCTATAGAAAAAACTTTTCGAATTGTTTATTTGAATATTTTAAATGAAAGAACATGACGAGATATCTCTAAATTCAAAATTTCAGCTTGTTTGGACGTGCCTATAAAAAATCGTAAAAGACTTATACTTCTTCAAATTCTGACGAGCGACATACAATACAGTTGTTGTTTTCTCGTGACCATATCTCACGACAGGACTAATAAAAACTCTGAAAATTTTACCATAAAATATTCTTATTGTATTATTCGTTTGTGTGAATTTCAAGTCGAAACTTGAAACTCAGTTTTTTTGAAATACCTGAGGGGAACCATGACAATGTCGTAAGACAATATGGAAAAATTGATATTTCAACAGTAACAACATATGGACACGAAATTTTGATCAGGCATTCATAGTTTATTACAGTCTACACAAAGTAGATGATCCAGTTCCAAAGTTAACTTGCATTTATCAAAGTTCCTTTATAAGACATAGAAGGATGCAGGTGTAGGTATGGCCGGTGAAAAAGTGATTTAAGAGAAGATGCTCACACACTCATTCACACTCTTGATTTAGAGTCTTTTGAAGCTTTACGAAAAAAAACAGTTTCCAGTCACTCGAGACACGATTTGAAATTTGTTGGTGCTCCACGGTTGCACGCATTGCATGATTCGAAACAGAACGATGCGAAAGATTTATTTTAACTCATTGTTGCACAGAGGTATTTTTTTTCGCAGACAATGTACTCCCAAGTAACTGGTCTTTTTGTGCTGTCATTAAATTCAAATAGCTTAGCAATAGTTCTCATTGACACAAATATTAGATTTGCACAACGTCACATATGTAAACCTACAAAATAGTAAGTGATCTAACTTAGTTATTTGTCTACAAGTATCAAAATTTAATTTCTTTCCTCGTTAGAAAGATTCTCTCGAAAGGAATGAATACATTTTTCTACCGAAAAATTATTTGTCTCACACGTTTTACTTCAAAGTTCGCTGCAACATTGATTGAATATATATTTCAATATATGATCATGCCCATAAATAAATAAAATTTGATGAAATGAGAAATTATTTTTTGTCTCTCTTAAAACAACTTTTCTGGTGATCTTGAAATGCGAGTTTCAGAAGGCAGAGTGCGCCGAGAAGGTGGGTGTGTGGGTCTGGGGTATGGGTGTGGCTAGGTGTTTATCTTATCTTAATTCACACCCACAGTCACACTCCACGTCCGATCCTTTTGCTTGAAGTTCACAATCTTTGAACAATTCTGTCTCTCTCTCTCTCTCTCTCTTTATTAACACACGATAATGAAAACTTCTGATACAAGACATATATGAATAAACCCCTTTTTTGAAACTGACATAACTTGAAATTAAGAAAATCTGATGCCTCCATCAATGAGAACACTTTGTCCAGTCATATAGTCAGAATCTTTGCTAGCCAAGTATGACACAAAGTTTGCGATATCTTCCGGCACACTTGTACGACCGAGAGTTATCATGTTTAAGTAATGTTTAGTGATATCTCCCTTTTGCTTTCCTTCGACTTTTGCCAATTCTTCATCAATCATATCCCACATTGCAGTTTCGACAATTCCTATTTTGATCGTCAGAGTTGTGTTTCAAAAAACCTGTATGAAACATACCTGGACAGTAAGCATTCACTGTAATCTTGTGTTTGGCCCATTCCATAGCAGCGGCTTGTGTAAGACCACGAACAGCCCATTTACTGGCACAATAATGGCTTAGCATTGGAGCTGATTTGTGTCCGGCCTGACTGCAAGCACCGATGATTTTGCCTCCTCTACCTTGCGCAATCATAACTTTTGCAGCCTCTTTGTAGCAAAGAAATACACCTCGCACATTGGTTGCAAACATCCTGTCCCAGTCTTCTGTAGTAATATCAAGAATCGATTTCACTTGAGCAATTCCTGCATTAGCGACTACGACCTGTATTATTTACTAGTAAAAAGATGAAAAAATCGAGAAAAAAGGAATACCTACATCTAAACTGCCCAGTTCTTTTGCAGCTTTTTGCATCATTGTTTCAACTGCTTTATCAACAGAAACATCAGCAGTGATAGCGACGGATTTTCGACCGATTTTTTCGATTTCTTGTTGAACCTTGTTGAGACTTGAAGAACTTGCTTGGATATCATTCACAGCAACATTGAGACCATCTCTAGCAAGGCGGAGGGCAATAGCACGTCCAATTCCTCGAGCAGCACCAGTAACGAGAGCGTTGCGAGACATCTTGAATAGTAGAATCTGGAAAAGAGAGAGAAATCAAAAGAAAAATCTCATCCTTCTCTTGCAGGATAACAATATGAGACTCTCCATATAGACCATAACATTTCTTTTTGTAGTAGTCGAAAATAATATTTGTTGTAGCTAGTAGCCTACATTCTAGAGTGGGTTTTGTCGTTACTTAAAAACGAATTTGTTATCGTTACATGGAGATGTCAACTTGACAACAAGATTTTTAGAGTCTGCCTTCTATGTGGATTACGTTCTCTGATATATATTTCAGAAAGAGGAACGAAACAATTGGTAAGGACCTAAATCTGCTCAGATATGCATCACAACTAACTTTAGTTTTTTTCAAAAAAAAAACTTCTATCACGTTACTGTGTATGAATTAAATGAAAATATTGCCGTCTTGTTTATAACAAGTAAAAGTATACTGAAGATACAACGATGAAAAGATACGCATTTTTTGACTTATAAGTTGTTATCTTTGCTTGTATTCTTTTCATCACATGTTTTGTTACGCGAAAAATAGCAGAAGTATTTTCTTTTTCTTACAACGTAAAAGACTGTTTTGTCGCTTTAATAGCTTGTAGCAGGTCAGCCATATTCAAATTTCCCAAAGCTTTCGTTATTCCTGATATTCCCTAATTATCGAAATTTCTGAAATTCCACACCTTCTCAAAGTAGCAGCTTTACATTGCTATGCGAGTTTTGAATTTATGCAAATTACAGAGATTTCGATAATTCCTTTTCTTTTTGTTCTACTATAATAATATTTGTTCCGATTTGTTATCTATTTCTAGATTTGAGTATCGACAAATGTTTTAATCATTAGCTGATATGTTTCAATAATATGCAAAATCTGGCTTGTGAGAACAACTTTCTATTGAGATTCTCATTGAGGTATCTAGAGTATGGGTAATATAGGCATAGACATACGGTAAGATGTTGCAGTATTCATGCAGGTATTGTGTGTATATGTGTGAGCGACTATGGTCATCAGAATAAAGCGGAGTATTTCGGTTATTGAGGTATTTGAATAGATGAAACAGTATACTGCTGATTTAAACTTCTTCATTCGATGTTTCAACCATTTTATTCGGTTATTTACAGCAGATTCACAATTCAACAATAATAAAATGACCTACATGTACATACCTTATAAATACGTACTCAATGGCTTCTATAGAACGAAGAAAAGAAAGAAATGCTAACGCAGTTTACTCTTTTTTATACCAAACTTGTGGGATTGATAAGAGTGAATCATATTCACGTATCTTTTATATTCTTCTAGACAAGATATTGCGCATAAATTTAAAAAAAATCTAACTCGTTCGTATGTATGAAAAGCCCATTCTTTATGACACAATAATCTCAAGAACAGAACATTGCTTGATAGTCGCTGGAATATATTTAAGAAAAGAGAGTTTCCACATTGGTAAATATTTTCTCCGATTTTTAATAGCACATTTCATTCATCAAAAGTAAAAACCGAATGATGAGAATAATTTGTAAACTTTTTTCACTGTGTGCGAGATAATAGAAGCGAGACTAGACGCGCATATCGCAGAAGCTAAAGCTAACAGTGAGTTTTTGTTAATTCGATAGTTATTAGCATGTTTTGCCGTTTTCAAGATCCTTGAAACGTCATGAATGAACGATGATGTGACTTTTAACAGTAACAAGCATGCTCTTTCGTCTGGTTCCAGCGAAGAAATCTGCTCATTGATTTGCAGGATGTGAATGTGATTTAAGTGAAAACTCAAACCCACATCCACACCTTCAAGACAGGAATGATGTCCACAAATAAGGACAATAATGAAGAGTAAATGGACATATTGTGTCTATTCTGTCAAAACTCTTGTTTTCCTTTGTCAATATTCAAGATTCGTTTATATATATATATATCATCATAAGACTGACACCCAAAAAACAAACAGATCTTCACTATCAAAAAAGATCTTCCAATTACAGTCTACTTCCCGGGTTCAGATCAACATATAATTATAGAAAATGACAATTACAAATGGCTTATTTATCGGGTTACATTGAATTTGAACTATAGTTAAATGATTTTGATTGTTTGGTTACATCATCGGTCAGCATTCATCATGTAGAAAGAAATAGAAAAACATGACAATGGTTTAAGTACATGAGTGATGTATCTGCTGTCTTGAAGATAGAATTTAGGGGAGAGTCTTTTTTTCTTTTCCTTTGAAAATATTGTTGATTGAATGTGAACAGATGTAAAATAATTTCAGTAAATTAATTTTTTTCATTATAATGTCTTGTTTAATCTCTATAGTAAGATAAAAATAGGTTGCATCATTCTCATAATATACGCTTAAACAATGAAAATTATTTGGTACGATCTGGAATTTTAAACTTCGAATATTATTTTGATATTCGTTCAATTGATAGTAATTTTTCTTTCTGTTGATTTTTTTTTATTTGTGTAGAATTCATTCGATTTTTATAGATATCATTATACTAATACAAAACATATATAGGGAAAAATCTCTAGCAGATTAAAGTTATGTGCCAAAGGATAATCAATCACCAGGCACACGATCTGTCTTATTTATTTCTGGATTTAGAACCGGAGTTTGTTTTTTTGATTTACTGGCGCTCTATTTTTTGTTTAACTTGTTGCCATTCACTAGTCATAACTTTTCGTCATATTCCTTTTGTTTCTAAATTTAACTTGATGATTATGATTCTAAGCATTGACGTAACTGGCAAACTAAAATTGATTATTTCTCAAACCTAAGTCATGATCAGCTCACACTATTTCTGTTGACCACATGACAATTGCACTATTGTGAACACTCACGAGCGTATTTCAACCATTCAAACTTCGAAGAAGACTTTTGAATATTCTAGAACAGTTTTAGTCTTGTCGTTAGTATCGTTCAGCACCTTTTTCTGTTGTTAAGAAACTCTGAAAAAAAAGTGTATTTGTTGGAATCAAATGTATATTTACATAAATTTCAACCTTTATTCTATGAAAACTCATACGATTAATGAATAACAATTAAAAAATTCTGTGAATAGATTTTTTTTCAGTATTTGGTTTATTCGAGATTCATATTGAAACGTATAGGAAATCGGTTAAATGAAAAGATTATGGATGTTGGTGTGGCTGGGTCGTTCTTATGTTAAAAAGATAAATGAAAGAAGAGACCATTCGTAGAAACGAATAATATTTTTAATTTATACTTGTGGCTAACAAGTCAATATCATGACTAAGACTTATTCAGAAGACTACAGAGTGTTCATAAATTGATTCTAGTTTGAAGATTATTGATATTATAGCAATGATAAACATAATGTAGTTAGAGGCGATTTGATAGCTCATTAATGGCAATGTAATTCTAGATTTCAATCATCGATTCATTCTTTCACTTAATTCTTGCTTAATTATTTGCTATAGTTGGTACTATAAATTAGAGCTATAGATCTGGTCTGCTATATCAGGTCAGGTGGTCTGTTGAGTTGTTTATCTTTCTTCAATTTTAAGAACGACTTAAGTTTAGTGTAGTAAAATGAATCATCTTTTGTTTTCCTATATTGATCTGATAATTGTTTTCTTTGCGTGTGATCATTACACTCGATTGGCATTCTTTTCATCGATAAATATGTACATTGCGTAGTAATATGTGAATAACAGAAATTGTAGCCTGAAAAAATCAAATAACCCAATTAATATCATGCGAACATTTTCTTTTCTATGTTCATTATAGATTGAATAGTTTCACATCTTTGAATGAATTGTGCTGCATAAAATTTATTCTTTTGTTCTAGATTTGAACGCAGCAATAACAATGAATAAGATGACGCTAGAATCATTATCCAATGAGTTGTTCTTTGATTTATTCGAATTATTTAATGCAGTTAATCTTTTTCGTGCATTTCATCGTCTCAATATTCGCTTTAATTCTCTATTATTGATCTATTTTCAAACTTTTCGTGTCGATTTTCGTTCTAGATTCAAAGAAGATTTTAATATTTTCTATCGCATGTACCTTCGAGCCATAATAAATCGTATTATTTATCTTCGAATCTCCGATGATGACGACACACCATATCAATGTACTCATTTCTTATCCATTGGTCTTACAATAGGTAAATTCAATAATCTTCGTTCATTAACATTCAACAGCGTTAGTTCGGATTCAAAGATTAATCAACGTTTTTTTTCGACTTACATTATCCTCATCATTTAACACATCTGAAATCTATCAATTATCAATTGTATGACATTTACATAATGGATTTCCAAGATGTGATTGATCAAATTTGGAATCTACCGAAACTGATTCATTTATATTGGGATTTATATTTTAAAGCTGGAAACTATTCTCCTATTCCTAAGTTCCTATCAACTTCGTTGCAATACTTAACTATTTGCAAGAATAAATGGTATTCGAATCAATTTCTCAATTTATTAGAAAAGACACCTCGTTTACGAAAATTATCCATGTCATTGGATACTTATGAAGAAGATGATCGTCCTCTTGCTCATGAATTTATGCCATCATCTAAGAATGTATTGATTACAAAACTCGTCCTATCATCAATCCGTTCACAACGTCTAATGACTAATTTATTTCAATTATTATCTAATGTGATTCATCTAAAAGTGAATAAGTTCTTATATATCAACTAAGATAGACATCAATGGCAACAAGTTATTGTTAATTATTTACCTCAACTGGAATTTTTGCAATTTAACATAGATTTGCATCTTTGTCTCAGGACTAATGATCAAACAAATGAAGAAAAAGTTGATCAATATATTGCTACATATCGTACATCATTTTGGATTGAACGTCATCAATGGTTTATTTGATGTCATTGGGGGACAACAGATGAAATATATTTCGATTCGTGTTTATTCATTATCGTATGAATTTAATTATTTTTCTCTGTTCGACAACGATTTGAATTATCATACAAAATCGACTTGTCCATGTGATATACATTTTCCCTATGATTCTGTT